AGAGAGTTGGGGAAGAACACTTATAACAGGTGCTGCTATGGAAACAAAACTGTTTCTAAGTTAATAACCTCGTAAAGTGCTGGTGAAGGTGAATCACTATTCAAGGAACTTCTGACTAGTAAAGGACCAAGGAGTGTCTGGTGGGTGCATTGTTTCTGGTAGTCCATGAATGAAAGGGATTTTGTAAAAAAATATACTTGAAGATTCATTCGTGTGGGGATGGGAAAATAACCTGTTAAAGCCACGAGGAGCTGAGGGTCTTTAGACTCAAAACTACATTACCACTGTGAGAGTGCGCCACAATGTCTAAATCTGGTATGGGCTTTTCAGTTGTATTAAGAAGCTAATAAGGCATAACTTTGCTCTGGTTTAATGTATAACTTGGGTAAATAAGTTTTCTATCCTAAACAGAAATCCAAGCCAATGACAGGTCATTATTAGTCTAACAGACACACTACCTTCACATTTTTATTATTGATTTGTGGGATGGTTGTATCATTGGCAAGATTAGCATCTAATGAGCCCTAATTTTCATTGAGTTAAAACTGAACAAATTGCTGGATCAATTCAGACGGCAGGTAAGAGTCAACCACTTTGCTGTTGGTCTGTGGTCACGTATACGCTCGACTGGGTAAAGCCAACAAATTTCCTTTGCTAAAGAACATGAGTGACTGTGATGAGTTTTAAGAACAATCCATTTATTTCATGATCAGCATGACTGATGTAAGCTTTTTAAAAATTTTGAAATTTGATATTGTATTATTAAACTTAAACACCCCAGCTGCTGTGGTAGGATTTGGACTTATGTCTCCAAAACTTAGTCTAGACTATTTATTCAGTAAAATGACCACATTTTTAAAACCCTTTTTAGACATTTACCATGTTAGATCTCAGGGTACGTATTGTGTCAATTCATAACCCACACTTTAAAGAATCCACTGACTAAAAATAATCAGGAAGACAGTGGTAAACTAACCTATCTGATTGGAACAGGTTGATGTTCTATTTTACACCCAATCGGATTTTAATGCAACGCAGTACTGGGTCAGGTTTGAAATGGATGTACGATCAGAATCCTAGCCAGTTCATTTGAAGTTTATGTTTAGTTACTGATTTCTGTAATAGGGAGCTATTGGGAAAGGACCATATTCATTACAATTTTGCAGTAGAATTCAGAGGGAGGAAGCAGAATGAGAGCAAAGTCACCCTAGATTCTCTTTCACATCTCTTGGAAAAATAAATTAACTTTGGAATAGATCATTATCACACACAGTGTATGAAGCAAAGGGAGAGTGGTAAAAGCATAAGAAGCTCAATCCATTTAAGTCCCAAAACTGAATGAAGCTTAATAGAAAAGTGAAGTGTATAACTACTGAGGTATCTTAACTCAGATTTCTAGCCTTCTGTTAGACAAAAAGCATAGACAAGAAATTATAGTCAGTTTCAGTCGTACAATTATGATAATTGAACTCACTATTTATGCACTTTTCATGCATGTTTGGCAGTGGAGTGTGAGAAAGCTGCATTTCAGTCTGTCACGATGTGCATTTCTGACCTGATGCAATTACTTTGAAGAAAGGCAGAATGAAAATTTGGCCATATTGGTTAAACTTTTCTGACCATTGAAAACCTTATCTCTAGAACATATCTACTTTTCCAATTTGTTGTGCACATCTCCAGGAAGAATTAAATACAATACTAATTCTGTAAAGGGAAATAAAATGGTGCTTACTTTAAATAACTGATGACAAGATCTGAAAGACAATCCCTTTTTTAGTGGGAAGGAAGCATGGCTAATGAATTACACAGGGCACAAAATACTTTGACCAGTTAAAGAGAAGGAAAAAGAAAATTTTTCCAGGGCCATTTTCTGTATTCTGTAGTTTGTACTAGACTTTAAATATATTAATTACGTAAATTTAAAGGTGATGGATAATTTAGTTATTCTACTTGCCATATTTCATTGCTATTTCATTCTTCAATTATTCCTGTGAGGAGAGTTTAGTTTGACTGGGCTTGTATTCACTAGTTTAAAAGAATGAGACAGAAGCTGATAAAAATGTACAAAGTTGTAACAGGGCTGGACAGATTGAGGAGTCTAGAACCAAAGGACCCAATGTCAAGATACGGGATAAACTATTAAGAAGGAGATGAGGAAAAGTGTCTTCACTCAAAGGATAGTAATCCTGTGGAATTCGCTACCACACAAGCCTGTGAAGGCCAAATCATGGCATATGTTCAAGATTGCTACATTTTTAGATTTAAAGGGATGTGGAAAGAATGTGGGAATATGCCATTGAGATAGAGGATTAGCCATTAACATATTGAATGGTGGAGCAGGCTCAAGGGGCCAAATAGCATACTTTTGCTCCTCTTTTCTATGTTTCTATTACCTGCTTTTAACTGAATGTGCAGCAGGTTTAGTCTCCAGGTGAATGAGCAAATGAAGTTTTCTAAAAACCCAAAGGATAGGCTAAAAGAGAACCTTAACCTCAAGTATTATCTGTAAAATAAACATTTATCACAGACATAAAAGTAGAAAATTTATTTAGGGTGGCTGCATTTGCAGCCAGGTTGTTAACTTTGCTCCAGGTCTGAGGCTTATCAACTTTCAGCAGCCAGCTCTCCATTACATTAAATTCTGCTGCATGCCCCACCTTTCCATTCAGTCAATAACAATGAATGCTGAAAGTAAAATTTCAAAGACAGAATCCCAAATATTGATTGCAGGATTTTGAAAATGGAGGGAGGGTGGCAGTTCCAATAGGAAGAACAATTCATTGATCATTAAACTTGAAGAAACAAAACATGTTTGAAAGAGTGTGTTTTACAGATTAATACTTAGCTGCAACTCAATGCTTGTAAGTCTATCAATACAAAAATATCCAATGATGAAAACTTAAATTAAAACCTACAATGAGGTCAAACTCAAAAATCCCTAAGAAAGCAACTTGGACTCCACCAGTCTTTATTGGTTCAGATTTTTATCTAGAAGCACCTCTAATGGAGTGTCATTAGTTAGATTTGTCCTTGCACATTTAGGTTTTCATACTTTTTGAATGGCAGGATCTTGAAAGTGTGACTTGATACTTTTGCAGCATGAAAAACAGGGCATCCTAAGACTTGAGTAAACAGGACGAAACCAATTGTGCATTTCCCTAACTAATCAGATTAATAAATCATGAAATAAACAATGCAGGGATTGACAAGGATTTGTAAATTTGGGGCATTGAAGTTAAAGTCAAATTGAGGCAGGGAGGGGATTTTTGTGAGGGACATCATGCACACTTCTGCACATTCATTCAGCAGTGCATTCACAGTCCAGGGGCTCCAACATGATCAGTTGTCTGCTTAGCAGGCTCATATTCAGGAGATCTATCCTAGTACAGTCCCACACGTGTTCAACAGTCAGTCATGTAGGGCCTGCAAAATCAGTCAGGGAATCATGTATCGTCAGTTGGCGAGCTGCAAACACAGCAGTCAGTGGTCTAATCAGATATATCAGGGGCGGCTCATCAAAGTCATTCAGAGGTCTAGGCCACTTAAAGTCCTGTGTGTCCATCTGATCATTCAGGGACGTTCAAGAATGTGGGGCCTGCAGGTGCTGAGGTGGAATGTAAATGTCCAATCCCCCATCATCTGCATTCAGCAAATTTTACAAATCAATAGGTTAATGGCAGATTCTTTTTATATGTAATCTCAGTCCTTTTTTTTTGATTAAGGACTACACCCTAGTCCACACCCTAAGTATCAACTTTAACAACCTACCCATGAATAGCAAGCACTCTTTTCTGAGTCAGAAGATTGTAGATCTGCATCCTCTCCCACTCAGGTAAACATAAATGACCCTATAGCATTATTTTGAAGAAGGGTAAAACAGTCTTTCCCTATAGTGCTCTCAAATCAACATATTGTAGATACAGATTATCTGATTATCACATTTTTGTTTGTGGGATTTTCTATACACATATTATTTGCTGTGTTTCCTAGGTTACAACAGACTACACTTTGCGACCACTTTATTAATTCTAAAGTGCTTAGGACATTTGGTGGAAATGAAAGGTGCTTCAGTTTTTTTTAAAGAGGACAAAATGGAAAGTAAAACAAACCGTAAAGATACAGAATAACATTTTTTAAAAAGAAACTAATTACAATATCTATGAGAACAAGACTCCTCCACTATTATAGAAGTCAGTTTTCAGTTCCAGAGAGGTTGATTGCAATAATTATCACATTGCATTAACACTTAACATTGATAAGAGTATGATTAGTTTTACACATAGTAAATAGTTAGGTTCTTGAATGTACTTTCTGTATATCTGGTGGAGGCAGGTTCAATTGAGACATTCAAGAGGACATTGGATGATTTTTTTAAAATGGAAACAACATGCAGGGAAAAAGACAGGATATTGACGTTAAGTTCAAATGCCTAGAGAGGCAGTATAGGCATGATGAGCTGAATGGCCTCCTTCTGCACTGTAACAATTCTGTGATTCCGTGAACCTAAATCACTAACACGTGTCCCACATCTCTTGTAGGGCAACCTGCCACAAGCATGTGGCAATTTATATGTTTGCAAATTCGAAAATCAATTTGTCTTCTCTCCTGTCTAGAAAACCTTGCTGCTTGCTAAGGGCACGATTTCATCAGCATTTTAATATTTCAAGCGCGAATCTCTTAAATGCCTACTAATTGACTAATGAGGTGTCTCATGAAAGCACTATTCTGTTCATTTTTTAATGTTATTTTAAAATGACGTATTTTTAAAGTTTCAGCAGGAATTACTGGACCACAGTCAGATTGCTTCCCTATTGCATGAGCACAGAGGCCACTTATAGCACCCCTACTGCTACCTGGATCCAGAGTAGCTTATTCAGCACAGACTCTCACTGAACAAATTCATATTGATTCTAATCGAAAATATTGATTCTCACAATGCTTAGATCATAACCATGCCTAGGATGAAAGAATAATATGAGAGGTACAACTCATTTACTTACTATTGGGCTGTTGAATGCCACTCTCTGGGTGGAGAAGCTATTACAATTCATCCCAGACTGCTGACAGTTTTTGGAGGCAGTGAACTGCTGCTGTGAATGTCCATTTTGTGAATGTTGCATTGATATTATGCTCTTTTGCCTTGGATGGGGCTTGGTAGTCTGAATGTTGTTCACATTGTCTGTGCTCTGCAAAAGTAGCCCTTCATCAAAAGAGACCAGCTCTCTCTGTGTAGATAATCGCCTTGCTAAATGAAATGATGGGAAGAAATTAATTTTGAAGTATTATAGTTACACTGTAGACAGTTCAGTTTGATTAAACACTACAGGCTTGGAATGAGTGGAGTTATAAATTAATCCATTGAGACATATCTAATCCAGGTGACTGGGATGAAATTATTCTCTTTTCTCTTTCCTTAAATGAACCAAATTTGGATCAATTTTACTGTGGTTAATTATGACTAGGCTGAATAATACAAATTTGTCACAATGTGAACCACATTAGCACCAAATTGGAAATGCTTCTTTAACATATCATATTGACTGAAGAATGAGCTAAAATATGCAATACCAGTAAAACAGTGGGGACAAGAATTTATCACAAACTTGGAATGAGGGACAAAGACTAACACATTTGTCTCCAAATTATTCTAAATGATGCATACCATGATTAAAAACCTAGATACCTTATGGCATCGTCACTAAAATTGTCTTGATATATCAAAAAAAGTCAGCGAATCATGACCAGTCTACTTTACCGTGAATGATTTGCAACCCAATTAATCTCCTGAAGAACAGAGATTAAATTTAAAAAGAACAAGTGCTTTTAATCTCTGTTCTAGTTCATTGATTATGTTGATGATCACATGGCTGTAATCCTCACTATTTTCATCATGTCGGAACTCTGTGCCCATGATGGTGCAGCGACGGAAGACCATTTTGTTTTCAGTGAGGGTTCCTGTCTTATCAGAGAAGATATACTGGATCTGACCAAGGTCCTCAGTGATGTTCAGAGCACGACACTGCAGACGGGTGTTGGTGCTTTCATCGTAAAGATCAATATCATTGTTTATGAAGAATATTTGACCCAACTTTACAACCTCAATGGAGACATACAAGGAAATAGGGATAAAGACCTGCCAATAGAAACAAAAATAAATAAGGCCAGAATTTTCACAGTTTTGACATAAAGGGAACGTTATAAAATATTCCAAATGAATAATCCGCATATGAAGGTAATGTATTCATGTATTTTTAATTTCTTTCATTTTTACCCCATGGTATCTGAAATCACAGATGAGGTAGCACCCTGGTCTCCTGCTCCTAATTCACATTTAACATTTTGGTATAATTCTGAAATCTGCCAAGGCCTCACAAGACTAGCTGAAGAAAAAACGCAATAACCTTGGAATGCTTACTTCATTTTGCTTATTGCTCTACGCTCTGCCACAAACACATTCCTAACCCCCTTCTCCATGTTTTCCACAGACACATGCATCTGATAGTTTATCATACTAATTTTATTTGCTCACTATATGCTATACTGCAAATCATTTGTTCATATTACACTCATCATAAATACATTTGTATTTCAGGCGATAAAGCATGTCTTCAGAATTTATAGTCAGACTTTTATTTTCAACAGAGCCATTGAGCAGAGCAAGATGAGCAAGTAAGCTGATGGTTACTATGTTAACTAGTAATATTACCATTGTCTAGCTGCCTGGATGATGCTGAATACCAGCACACTATGACAACTGCCTAACTAAAAGCAAAGAGTTAGAAAGTAGAGAACATGATGATTTAGCTGTACACTATATTTTCTCTAACCAGAAACAGAAATCTTCATTGTTTTTGCCTGTTTAGGGCAAGGTCCTCAATCCTACGATATATACTGTAAACATAAGCTACTGTATTTATTGATACATCCTCTATTAGTTTAAATCTAATTTTATATTAACTAATTTAGATCATTGCTTGAATTCAAATTGACATTTTAGCTACATATTGCAATCACGCAACTAAGATAATCAGCAGCATAACAAAATTCACAGACATTTTGAATGTTACGAAAGTGGCCCAATTGCTTGTTTGAGCACCCTGAGGATTGAATGTCCCTGAACAGGATGTCAAGGATGTAAACAGTTCCAGACAATATAACAGTGATTGATCTGATGTACCTGTAGTAGTATCACCATTGTCAGGAACATGTAACATCCAGACACAGCAGTTGACATGAAGCTGCCATTGTCATCTGGGGGTTCAAATGGAGGCCATGAAGGGAAGGTTCCAACCCAAATACTGTGGCCTGGGGATAAAATATATTTAAAAAGTTATGTTACAGCAAACCAGTCTCTAAATAAAGTGGTGTTGATTTTTCCGCGAAAGATATGAAATGCACAAAAACAAAGATGGCACAGTACATATACAGAGATAGTAGGAACTGCAGACGCTGGAAAATCTGAGATAACAAGGTGTAGAGCTGGATGAACGCAGTAGGCCAAGCAGTATCATAGGAGCAGGAAGGCTGATGTTTCGGGCCTAGACCCTTCATCAGAAGGGTCTAGGCCCAAAACGTCAGCCTTCCTGCTCCTATGATGCTGCTTGGCC